TTGGGGGTGATTTTTGGGGGGTGATGGATATGGATGTACATTCATTATCTTGATTGTTGTGGTGCCTTAACATGTGTAGACATGTTTCAAAACTTAGCAAATTTTACACTTTAAATAGTGCCTGTCAATTGTATAATATTTTATAATATTGTCAGTTACTTCTCAATAAAGTTGTTTTTAGAAAGTACAAAAAAATAAAAAATCCTGAGGAAAAAACAAACAAAAATCAAAATGATGGGTAAGGGATAAGTGGTTATTTTAGAGGGAAATGGTGAGGGAAGACTACTCAGTGTGATCAGTAGTCTAGGTAAAAATGGCAGGTGTTTGGAAAGGTTATAAGTAGCTTGATGAACATGTTCTTCATGCCCAGGGTTCTCCCTGGGCTCACTGGATACTGAAGCTAGTGCTGTTCTGGTGATAGGTCCCTGAGGTTACTTCCTACTCTGGCCAGGATTGTCATGGAATTGGGTGGGACTGAAGCCACAAACTCAATGTCCTTGTTGCCTGTAGAGAAGAGAGCTTGGGAAAGGAAAAAGATGATTAAAAAAACAAACAAACAAAAAAACTGTATTAAGTTTAACTTGAAAAATCTCTATTTACAAGAAAAGATTTGGTTTAATTTAGAAATGAAAGAAAGAAGAGAGCAAGGAAGAGAAGGAGGAAGCTAAGATGGGCAGGAAAATTGATGCAACTTGCCTTTATCTGAGAAACAAAATCTAAGGGCCAGGATTTTTAGAGCTCACTCACCTCTGGGTATATACTTTTGAATATGTTTATCTTTTCCAGAGCATCTGAAGTGTCTGTGTGGTTTATTTTTTTTTAATACAACCATGTTTCATTATATAACAATAAATATCCTCGTGTGACAGCAACTTTTAGAGACAAAATTTTTTTCCTGTTCTCCCAAGTAGTATACTGTGATTTTAACAAAAGCTATGAATTAAGACATTGCCTTTTATATGCTAAAAATAATAGAACTAGCACTTAAAGTAGCAATCTGACAACTCACAAAGAATATTGTAAACATATCATGCCTCATTAGTTCAGTTATGTCTCATTTGGTGTCACTCATCTTATCCTTATTCAATATAGCAAGTGCTTGCACATATTTGTCTTTTTAATATTTTTTCTGTGATGTGTATCTGACCATGAGTGAAAGAAAGACAAATCAATGTCATTATCAGTTGATCTCAAAATCATAAAAATTATAAAAATCATAAACCTCAAGATCAAAGATGCTTCTTTCTAAAAGATATTTGGGACATCAATTAGATAAACCAATTGAATCAAACATCTTTTTAAGCCATCATTTAATCTTGATTTTGCTTCATTTTTAAAGAATGTGGATTGTAGGATCTAGCCTTTAGTGTTAAATTCATAAACTATTGGTAATTGAAGCAATACACACACACACACACACACACACACACACACACACGTATCCATCTCCACACAGAGTTTTGATTATAGAGAGTAAAAACTAAGGACCCGTAGACTTTGTTTGATCTGCACATTATTATAATATTTTTAATTAGTTATGAGCGTATAGAAATAGGGAGATTTCACACACAAAAATTACATACTACTGGCCTTTCTTGAAAAAATCAGAATGTGCAACACTGAACCTTCGTTCTCTTATGACACCAAAAATACAGGAACAGATTCCTCCTTTGGATGGAACACATACCCTCCAGTTTGCTCTGTTCTCCACCATTCCTAGTAGCAGCCCTCACGTTAGCTCTAGCCTGCTTCATTTATCTCTATTACCCGTCTGGTAATCTTTCTTGTCTTCCTTATTTCAATGTTAATCTTTCAGTTATGGGTTTTTGAATTTACTTTTCTTCCCATTTAGGTCTTACTGGAAATTAAATGATAACTGGCCAACATTAATCTAGACTAGGCTAAACAAACACTGCTTTAAGGACACCATTAAATACAGCCAACAAGAGTAGCTGTGTAATGCTAGATGCCAAGATGGAAAGACAGACAAGTAAACTGATAGCACATCACTAGGTAATCAGAGATTGAAAATCATCTCCTTTTTCAATTTTTAAAGTTTAGGAGGCTAAGAGTTGGATTAGAGTGACAGACTCTAGCAAGTACATAATGCAGAAAGAACTGTTTACCATGCATTGGACTTTTAAGTAATATTCAGACATATAGCTAACACAATTAGAAATGTCAACATCAAATAGATTGTCCATGTGTAATTTCACAATGTGTGGATTGATTAATCAAATTTCTTTTCTCTACTCTTACCCTGTTAATAATCATGGAGGGGAAATCCCTTTCAACTTTCTCTATAGATCCTACTTTTGGTCCAGATAGCATTGGAAGACACCAGAGCCATACGAAGCTGCCTGGGAAAACAGATTTGTAATTGTGAAACACGACGATGGTCTTCCTTACAGTTAACTGGGAAATGATAAGCATTTAGCCTATGAAATTTCCCCCAAACTGAACTGTGGGGATGAGCTGCCTTCTTGTTCATACCATCTGATAAATGGAATATTTCAAAGGAAAAAAATATGTGTACACACACACATGTTTTATAGATTTCTGATAGGAATACTATAATGTACATGCATGCTCAGTGGGGTTATATGAGCAAACTTCCCAGGCAGTGTCCTCACCTGTAAAATGAGAGTGACCAAATAGTTTTGGAAGTCATATGCTTTCAGAGAAGGAAGGACTCCGAAGAGCATCTACTCCAAACCCCTCTTTAATACTATAGTAGTAGTTTTGGTATTGGTGGTGGTGGTTGTGATTATGATGATGATATGATAATGACAATATCATTATTATTATAAGAAATTCCACGGCCACTACAGACTAAGTGGCCTATGAAAGGTCACATATCTAGTTAATATGAGATCCAGGACCAGAACTTAGGCCACTCATCCTTAGTTCAGCACATGCCGTGATCTTTATGACTTTGATTCTTGGAAAGAATACTGCTTCTTTTTCCCTCCTCTCATTATTGATATTGTTATGGATTTTTAAAAAACTTTTGTTCTTGTTTCTTTATACAAAATCTTTTCAGTTTGGCACTTGCTGACCAGGAAGAGGAAATTCTATGACATCATTCTCTAATTCAGTCCCGTATGAGCAATGTTGCATATTAAATCTAAATTTGATTTCTTTATATATAAAATGTCTTGAAAAATAAACAGATGCACTTTTATTTGTAGGAATTTTATTTTTTGAAGAAGTTATTATACACTAGAATGATATATTTCTCATCCTGCACCACAATTGAGATTTGTTTTTTATAGCTTCAGTAAAATTAAAAGGTGACATTTATGGATATATATATAGACTCCTGATTGGGAAAATTACTAGTAAGCTCAAAGGGCTTATAGATAATATAAAACTACATGTTGTTAGTAAAATTTCTTAGGAAAATATATGCTTGAACAGATTTAAGCTGTGCTAAAATTTAAGAAATGCTAGGATATATGTATTTCTTTCAGTATTATTGATTTTCTTAACCAAGGTATAATTTATGTTCTTTAGCTATCTCTAAGAAGATCGTTTAAATCCCCTAAATTGTCATATATTAAATTCAAAACATTTTTCATGATGGCCTTATTATTTTTAGCGTGATAACATTTTGACATCTTATTCACATTTCTCTTAATTGAAGTATGGCTGATTTACAATATTGTGTTAGTTTCCGGTGAACAGCATATCGATCCGTTTCTTTTTGCAGATCACATTTCTATTATTCAAAGATATCTTTATCTTCTATCATATACTTGGCACTGTGCTCAGCTCTAAGGATACATGTGATCTCTGCCCTCACACTGTTGCCAATCTGGTAGACATCTCTCCTGTTGTATTAATCTTTGAGAAAAGGTGCTGCCAGGTCAGAAAACCAAAACTGAAACCGACATAATTTATGTTTGTCTAATCATTTTATCCTCAAGCTAACACTAGAATCCAATTAAAAGACAAAATTCAGAATTTTACAGATTTTGACCATTAGCATCACTATATTATGAATTGCAGATGTCTTACGTAGACCACAGACATCCAAATTCCCCAGAATTCTTATGATTGGAATCACTTGCAATACCTGCTAATGTAGATTTCTGAGGGTCCAGACCTTCAGAATCAAAATCCCACAGGAGAGGGGCCTGGAGACCATTATTATTAAACACCCATCCCAACATGCCCAAGAGTTTTTCACATTTTCTTATATAACCTGGGTGTTGGTGAAAGGCTAATGTGCACGGAACCACTTTTGGACTGCTGCCTTTGCGTGTTCTGCCCGGATCATACAGCCCCTTGCTTTAGAATAGAGCATTAACTGACACCTCTTATTCTCAACACTTATGCTTCTGTCAAGTCTCAGAGGCAGTAGGAAAAGTCTTGTTTAACATCCCATTACACTTAATTTAATTCATTTGTCCTCTCTTTGTAAGGTTTCTAAATATTAATGAATACATGATTAGTTAATTTAGGCATGATTAGCTTCATCACATTTTAGTTTTTCTTTCTTACTCAGACTTAGCTCAGAAAATCTGATATTCCTTAACAAAACTTCCTGGCTGTTTCAGAAACAGGTGCCTGAGGTTCCTAATTTTCCATGGTATCTTTTCCCATCCCATCTTCTCAAACCTTATATTTAATGAAGCCCCCTTCTTCCTGTCTCACAGAGGATCATTTTTGGGGATGGAAATTTCTAGAATATTCTTATTGATCCTATTTATTCTCTAAAACTCTTAATCGCTGTTGCCATTGGTTATACACATACACACGTGAACGCGCGTGCACACTCACAGACCCCACAGCACTTTGGGTACCAAAGAAATTAGTTGTCTTAGGAGAGGCTTTAGCTGCTGAGGTAGCAGTGATGGTAGTAGAATGGCAGAATCCTCAGAGTGTGTGCAGTCCTCCTGCCAGGCTGTGTGGAAAATGATACTTCTACTTGAAACCTACAAAACGTTTCAGTGTAGGGAAGAGTCGTCAATCTCTAAATTACATTTTCATTACAGACATAAAGGAGATGATTCTCAGAAGTGGGTGTTTGGAACTGACGGTTGCATTTATTCTAAGGTAAGGACCATGAGCACAGCTTTATTCCTAATTTTTTCTTTTTTCAGATTCTTATAAAATGCACTGTCTATTGTTGAGATCAAGAAATGCTTTTTTCTGGACAAATGATTTCACTCTGTTCCCAGAAATGTAGAATTTAACTCAGTTTAACTGAACACTTTCCTCTGAGGTTTTGCTTGACTTTAAAACAAGTTTTCCAAAGCCACATATAGTTTTCTCTAATTCATCGCTATGATACAACCTAGCATTTTCGGGCATCAGTTTCCTTTCTTCTATTTTTAAAATAGATTTATTATTTTAAAAAATTGAGCTATAATTGACACGTAACATTGTGTAACTTTAAGGTGTACAACCTGCTGCTTTGTTACATATATATTGTAATACGATTACCCCATAGCATTAGCTAACACCTCTGTCATGTCACATAATCACTCTGTTGTGTATTAGATCTCCAGAACTTATTTACCTACTAGTTGCAAGTTTGTGCCCTTAAACAACATCTCCCGAATTCCTCCACCCCCCAGCCCCTGGTAACCACCATTCTTCTCTCTGTTTCTTCAAGTTCAGCTTTTTTCAGATTCCACATATGATATCATACAGTATTTGTCTTTCTCTGTCTGACTTAATCTCACTCAGCATAATGCCCTCAAGTTTCATCCATATTGTCATAAATGGCAAAATTTCCCTCTTTCTCATGGCTTAATAATATTCCATTGAGTGTGTATGTGTGTGTGTGTATCACATTTTTTTCTGGTAGGCCATAAATGGTATCTTATTTTATTTATTTTCTTTCCAGTTTTATTGAGATATAGTTGACATACAGCACTGTATAAGTTTAAGGTGTACAGCGTACTGATTTGACTTACATACATCATGAAATGATGACCACAGTGAGTTTAGTGAACATCCATCATCTCATGTAGACACAAAATAAAAGAAAATTTTCCTTCTGATGAGAAGTTTTGGGATCCCCACTCTTAACCAGTTTCACATATAACAAACAGTAGTGTTAATTATATTTATCATATTGTGCATTAAATCCCTAGTACTTATTTATCTTATAACTGAAAGTTTGTACCTTTTGACCACTTCCCCCTCTCCCTACTCCCCACTTCTGGTAACTGCAAATCTCATCTGCTTTTCTATGAATTTGTTTGTTTGTTTGTTTGTTTAGAAGTATAATTAACTACAACCCTATGTTAGTTCCTGATGCACAACACAGTGATTTGATGTTTCTATACATTACAAAATGATCACCACGATAAGTTTACTTACCATCTGTCACCATACAAAAATATTATATTATTATTGACTGTATTCTTCACACTGTACATTTCATACCTGTGACTCATTTATTTTGTAACTGGACATTTGTACCTCTTAGTCTCCCTTGCCTGAGGAGACGTATCCAAAAAATATTGCTAAGACTGATGTCAAATAATGTACTGCCTGTGTTTTTTTCTTTATTCCTTCATCCATGATGGACACCTAGGTTGCTTTCATATCTTGGCTATTGTGAGTGATGCTGCAATAAACGTGGGAGTGCAGATATCTTTTCGATATCCTCATCAGCTTTCTTATTTATTAAAATGAAGAGATGGCACTTTGGAAAAACGGCAATATCTACTAAAGTTGAGCATGTTTATGCAGCCCAGCAATTCCCCTATTAGTTTAATGCTAGACAGAAATAGCTAACATATCTTAAGGAAAAATATATCTACCAAAGTGTTAACAGCACTAATTGTAGTGCCTCAGTGTGGAAATTACTGAAATGCTTATCAGCAGAATGGATAAATAAAATGTGGTATATATATTCAATGAAATACTATATAACAGAGATGGAAAACTTTGGTAAAGGGCCAGATATTAAATATTTGGAGCTTGGTGAGTGATATGATCTCTGTCCCAACTTCTTAACTCTGCCTTTGTAGCATGAAAGCAGCCGTAGAAAATGTGTGGCTGTGTTTCAATAAACCTTTATTTACAGAAACAAATGGTTGGTCATATTTGGCTCACGGGCCACAGTTTTCTGACCCTGGAGGATAGCAATGCCTATGGACAAATTACATATAACAATATATATGAGTCTCGCAAATATAATGCTGAACAAAAGAAACCAGGAGAATACACAATGCATGACTGCAGTTGTTTAAATTTTAATACCAGGCAAGCAACAAAAATATCGTGTTAGAAGTTAGGAGAGTGGATATAGCTGAAGGAGGTTAGGGAGTGAAAGGGGCCATGAGGAGCACTTAGGTGTGTTGTTCCCTTTCTCGACCTAGGTGGTTAGTTAAACAGGTATTCACTATGTGAAAATGGGTTGAATGTACACTTATGATTTTTGTATTCTTCTGTTATGTGTATTGTATTTGTAATTACTGTGTTATACATCTGAAGCTAATGTAATATTGTAAGTCAACTATACTTCAATTTAAAAAGTTTGCTTTAATAAAATGAGATTGTCCTTGAGTTCTCAAGATTTCCTTCCTGTACTGTGATTCCAAGTCTAAATGGAATATTAATCATCAAGATTTAAGAGAGGCAAGGGAGGAGCTTCAAGATGGTGGAAGAGTAAGACGTGGAGATCACCTTCTTCCCCCCAGATACATCAGAAATACATCTACATGTGGAACAACCCCTACAGAACACCTACTGAACGCTGGCAGAAGACCTCAGACTTCCCAAAAGGCAAGAAACTCCCCACATACCTGGGTAGGGCAAAAGAAAAAACAGACACAAAAGAATAGGGACGGGACCTGCACCAGTGGGAGGGAGCTGTGAAGGAGGAAAGGTTTCCACACGTTAGAAACCCCTTCGCGGGCAGAGACTGCGGGTGGCAGAGGGGGGGAAGCTTCGGAGCCGCGGAGGAGAGCGCAGCAACAGGGGTGCGGAGGGCAAAGTGCAGAGATTCCCGCACAGAGGATCGGTGCCGACCGGCACTCACCAGCCCGAGAGGCTTGTCTGCTCACCCGCTGGGGCGGGCGAGGCTGCGAGCTGAGGCTCGAGCTTTGGTCAGAGCGCAGGGAGAGGACTGGCAGCGTGAACACAGCCTGAAGGGGGCTAGTGCGCCACGGCTAGCCGGGAGGGAGTCCGGGAAAAAGTCTGGAGCTGCCAAGAGGCAAGAGACCTTTTCTTCCCTCTTTGTTTCCTGGTGCGGAGAGGGGATTAAGAGCGCCGCTTAAAGGAGCTCCAGAGACGGGCGTGAGCCGCGGCTATCAGCGCGGACCCCCCAGAGACAGGCATGGGATGCTAAGACTGCTGCTGCAGCCACCAAGAAGCCTGTGCAGGAGCACAGATCACTATCCACACCTCCCCTCCCGGGAGCCTGAGTAGCCCGCCACTGCCAGGGTCCCGGGTACCAGGCACAACTTTCCCGGGAGAATGCCCGGTGGGCCTCAGGCTGGTGCAACGTCACGCCGGCCTCTACCGCCGCAGGCACACCCTGCATCCATACCCCTACCTCCCTCAGGCCTGAGTGAGCCACAGACCCCAATCGGCTGCTCCTTTAACCCCTCCTGTCTGAGCGGGGAACAAATGCCCTCAGGCTACCTACACGCAGAGGCGGGACCAAATCCAAAGCTGAACCCCAGGAGCTGTGCGATCAAACAAGAGAAAGGAAAATCTCTCCCAGCAGCCTCAGGAGCACCGGATTAAATCTCCACAATCAGCTTGATGTACGTGCATCTGTGGAATACCTGAATAGACAACGAATCATCCCAAAATTGAGGCGGTGGACTTTGGGAGCAATGATATATATATATTTTTTTCCCTTTTTCTCTTTTTGTGAGTGTGTATGTGTATGCTTCTGTGTGTGATTTTGTCTGTATAGCTTGGCTTTTACCATTTGTCCTAGGGTTCTGTCGGGTTTTTTTTTTTTTTTTTTTGTGCGGTACATGGGCCTCTCACTGCCGTGGCCTCTCCCGCTGCCGAGCAGAGGCTCCAGACGCAGAGGCCCAGCAGCCATGACTCACGGGCCCAGCCGCTCTGCGGCACGTGGGATCCTCCTGGACCAGGGCACGAACCCGCGCCCTCTGCATTGGCAGGCGGACTCTCAACCATTGTGCCACCAGGGAAGCCCCGTTGTTTTTTTTTAATATAGTTTTTAGCGCTTGCTATCATTGGTGATTTGTTTTTTGGTATGGTTGCTCTCTTCTTTCTTTCGTTTTTTTCTTTTTAAATTTTTAATAATTATTTTTTATTTATTTTAATACCTTTATTTTATTTTTTCCTTTCTTCCTTTTTTTCTCCCTTTTACTCTGAGCCGTGTGGCTGACAGTGCTCCGGCCAGGCATCAGGCCTGTGCTTCTGAGGTGGGAGAGCCGAGTTCAGGACATTGCTCCACCAGAGACCTCCCAGCTCCATGTAATATCAAACAGCGAAAATCTCCAAGAGATGTCCATCTCAACTCCAACACCCAGCTTCACTCAACGACCAGCAAGCTACAGTGCTGGACACCCTATGCCAAACAACTAGCAAGACAGGAACACAACACCACCCATTAGCAGAGAGGCTGCCTAAAATCATAATAAGGTCACAGACACCCCAGAACACACCACCAGATGCGGACCTGCCCACCAGAAAGACAAGATCCAGCCTCATCCACCAGAACACAGGCACTAGTCCCCTCCACCAGGAAGACTACACAACCCACTGAACCAACCTAAGCCACTGTGGGCAGACACCAAAAACAACAGGAACTACGAACCTGCAGGTGGCAAAAAAGAAACCCCAAACACAGTAAGGTAAGAAAAATAAAACGACAGAGAAACACACAGCAGATGAAGGAGCAAGGTAAAAACCCACCAGACCAAACAAATGAAGAGGAAATAGGCAGTCTATCTGAAAAAGAATTCAGAATAATGATAGTAAAGGTGATCCAAAATCTCAGAAATAGAATGGAGAAAATACAAGAAACGTTTAACAAGGACCTAGAAGAACTAAAGAGCAAACAAACAATGATGAACAACACAATAAATGAAATTAAATATTCTCTAGAAGGA